CCGCTATAATTGTTATGATGTGCAGACATTTTATAACTCTGGGTCTTAAAGACGCCCAGTTTCACGTCCGGCAGGCAGTGTACGAGACAGAAAGGAATGCGCTGGAAAGGGCGCTCTTCACTGTTACATGTAATTGTCTTCGAGACACTGGGAAGGATGTCAGATGACCTCAGAAGAACAGTCTTCCGACTTCTAGCCTCTAAACTTTACTTTCTTGCTTTCCTTCCTTCCTTCCTTCCTTCCATCACGTATCATTATAAACACACGATACAGCATTGGCCGATGTTAGTCTTGCGTTTGCGATACGAATCTCTTGGAGGGCTCGTCTTTGTGTCTAGAAGCCTACCGCCTGATTTGCGCTCTGAGTCTGATATAATTTCGTTTTTGGTCGAAATTTTAGGAATAGCGTGACAGGCAGGCGTCTATGAGAACATGAGCGTCACACAGATTCGTCCGTATCAGCATGTGGTAATTGTGTCACGTGTGTTTCCCTTATAATTGCATCCGTATCTCAAGGGAAATACTCCCCGTGTAGTTTCTAACAGTTTCTGATCATACTTAGAAGCGCCATAATTTCATACAGAAACACATACAACATGCCACGTTTCTGAATTATACACATTGTGTGTCAAAATAGTCGGTTTATACTGGATCACATAATAGATAATAGGATAATTCCCAAGTTATAGTATAGACAACCGCGCAGGATTAGCCCAGTTATGGAACCGTGGACATGCATTCAGAAGGTACCGGGTTCCGGCTAACCTGGCTAAGGTTTTGGAGGGCGAAGTGAGGCGTTTTGTTAGTCTCCATACAATTGTCAGGATGATACCTAATAGGCTACGATCGCATCGGAACTGGCGTAATTTCTGAGCCCCAAAAACCAGGGGATTATATCTAGCCCACCTCCCATGATAACCAATATATCAGATCAGTAATTCGCTTTGTAATTTGAGTTCTCTTATGTCGAGCTTTTTTTATGAATGGTAATATGGAATGTATCACCGTTTTTAAAATTACAGCTTGGGAAAGTGTTTCAGACCCTGATGGACTTTTTTGAACAGGATAATGAACCACAGAGTTTCAGAAAAGGCAGGTAATTTGTAAGCTGTCGAGGGACCGTTAGTTTCAGAAGAGAGTCCATAGACCATAATGGGGTTCAGAGAATACACTGACGAAGTGTAGCATGTAGCTTCAGTAACAAAGCGGTCTGCCGTATATTGAAGAGCTTTCACTGATTAACATATCTTGAATGGGTTCTGTAGGCCTTATCACAAGTGAATATATCGGGTTCGATATCCGGCAATACCATTATTCTCATTCGCCGCTTTTCTCTCGCCAGTTGTCGAGCTGTGTTGCTCTGGTGTGCTGTATATATCAGCACAGTGCATTTTGGAATTGTATGCAGTACAATACGAAATTGCCGATAACAGCGGCCGCGCTGTTTAAAACATGAACTGTCTTTACTACCTCGAACACCGTATACACTCCCGCTAATTTATGCACTCGTCTTCTCACTACAGCACATACTAAGTCTCAGTTTGTTTTCACTAGCCGTTTCCTGACAGTGGATCCTAACAGTGTCCTCTGCTTACGTCCTCACCGGCCGGCGAATATCTCCCAACTGACTAAACTCCAAACTTGTCCAGCTTGTCACTACGGACCGCATAAGAAAAAAGCGTTCCTCTGTCGCTGTTCAGTTGCTTTCTAGGAATCTGTTGCCTAGCAACAGGCGGTGTTTATACAGTCATTACTTAGCAACGGGTCTACATGCTACCATACTTGTATTGTTGGCAGAGCTGATTAGTTGTGAAGAGTCTGCTAGACTATGAATTACAGCCTATAGAGGCATTAATTATTTTCCATTGTAACCTATTTCGTTAACTGTACGCCGTATCGGAGTGTATCAAATTACAAGTTACAATTTTTCGATGAGACATGAGCTCTGAGATGCGGAAAATGACAGGCCTAATCATAAACGGACCAACGTTTTTGAAATGGAACTCAGTAACAGCACTTGAGACATTGAGCATCACGTACCCCTCGACCTCAGTTCAGGCGGCGAAGCTATCGCACATCTCAAGGCCGAGGCTCATGTCCCACCGAACCTGCTCTATTTAGAAGTGATATAGACGTGTCATTTCTTTTTATGGCTACCTTTTTATTTAACAAGTTTGTGTGATCTTTTTGTAAAGTACAGTGGAACCTCGCTTAACGAGCAGAATTCGTTCCAGAATCTTACTCGTAATGCGAAACAATTTTTCCCATATAAATTAATATAAAATACGATAATGCGTTCCATGCCGAAAAAAATACTGAAACAAATTATTTATAACTTTTATTGAAAGAAAATTATATATACATTGATAAGGAGCGTGAATCATCTTCATCTTTTCTTCTATGCCTTGCAATTGCTTTTCGTTTATCCATATGAGGAGCAACCTTTCAGCATCGTCGAGAATACTTAACCGTTGCGTAGATATTCTTGTCACTGCCTTTGAAGCATCTATCTCCTTAATCTAGTCCTTGTTCTTGAGGATAGTGCAAAGCGTTGATGTAGACCGATTGTATGTCCGTGCTAGATCAGCCACGCTCACACCTCGTTCTCGCTTTTCAGTGATTTTATGTTTCATTTCTACGGTCATTTTTATTCTCTTATGGCTGTCTTTTTGCGGCTTTTTCTTCGGGGACATTTTTGCGAGGGTTACTAAACTTTGCACAACAAAAAATCACAAATAATATGTCTGAACACAAGTTTGGAAAAATGTGTGATCACAAGCGACACTAAGAGCTAGCGGAACAAGTGCTGAACACTGACTGATGTAGCAAGCGCACAATCCGGGACTTCCCCTCTCGTCACTCGTTATGCGAAACGTCGCTCGTTAAGCGAGTCATCCCTTTACAGTTTGTTTTGCTCGTTGTGCGAATTACTCGTTATGAGATGTACTCGTTAAGCGAGGTTCCACTGTACGAGTATTCAAATTTCTTTTCCGGTGTAGAAAACAGAGATTAACGGCCTTGGGGATCCGTTGAGCTGACCACCCTACACCCTCTATCCGCTAAAGTTGGCACTAACTTCGCCGACAAACGGCGGTTTCTCGGTCGGTATAGTTCGGTTGCGGCGTACAGGTCACGGATTTTTTTTTTCGAATTTCTCTTGTTTTTATTAATACTTCGTTATTCAACGAAGCTATGAGACTGTATGTGCAGTGTCGATGACGGGATGAGTAATGAATGTGAAGCAGTTGGTGGGATGGGAATTCATGGGGGGGGGATATCGAAGTTCCGGGAGAAAACCGGCCCCAGTGCAACAAATGGCACACGGCCTGACCTGGGGTCGAATCCGGGCCGCCTTGGTGGGAAGCCGGCGACAAACCGCCTGAGTTATGGCACAAATTTCGTTGATTCAGTTCATTAGATATGATTTCAGCAGTGTGCGTTCATGTGTCCTAATGTTTATGTGTTGTTTTACCATATATAGTTAGAAGCCATGCAGTTGGCTGTTCATATCGTCTGACGTTTCGCAATTTCGGAATTAATTATGACTAGGAATAGACCATGGAGCGGAGTCCATGTAAGAAGTGAGTACACTAAAAATGTATGTAGGACATATTTCTTTTTCAGTAGTTAAATTGAGGGCAGCCGTAATGTTGTTTTATTGCGCAACCGTGTAATGATAGTAGAATATGATAAGTTATAGCATTTTTATACACTTAGGGCTCCACCTAACGGGACAGAAGATGAGTCGAGACAGCGTGACAAAGACAGGCTTCCGTTACTTAGCAGAAATAAGCTGCAACGTTCGTGACGCTTATTCATACTGTCATGGTTCACAAAACCTGCTAGATTTGAGGTTATCTGTCTNTTGTCATCGTGCTCAACGAATTTAAGCACTACGCCATGCAGGCGTATGGAAGAGTGGATGTATAGATCCACATTTTCTTGATCTCGGCACTAGTTGGAGGTGAGTGGCCACCTTCACGCCCCGGCCGCTTTGCCTCCGGTGCCAATTGGATAGGAGGATGGGTGGATCGCAGAGACGGTATGGACGAGTTGGAGAAAATTACGATTGTATTGTCCCAACCGTGACTTGAACTCCGATCCCTCAGTCGTGCAGCCCGTAGCCAGTCGCTATACCGATTTCGCTACCTCGGCTCCGATACTGGCGATATGTACCTCATAAATATCATGTTGTCTCCGAACTGCGTGGCTTCACAACGTAGATGACAGCACTGTGCGCAAAAACATGTTCTGTAGGTTACTAACGTCAGAGACGTGCTTAGAATATAATTCCCGCCATTTCACACTTCATGTACATAATTTCAGCGGCCGACCACGTTAAAATGTATGTAATGACTGTGGTCATTGTTATCCATTTCTGTTTTTAGATACAGGTACTCTTAGCTGTGGAGCCGAGATAGCGCAGTCGGTATAGCGACTGGCTACGAGCTGGGCGACGGAGGGGTCGCAGTTCGAGTCCCAGTAGCTCTTCCTCACGTTGTCCAGACCGACTCTGGGGCCCACCCAGCCTCCTATTCAGGGGGTACCAGGGTTCCTCCCTATTGGCCACGGAAAACCGGACAGTAATTTAGATTAATCCTGTATGTCCTAGGTTCTTCAGCTGTCGTTTTGCTGTGAACCCTTGGCAGTCGCAAAATAGCCGACTATGTGGACTACACATGGTGACAAATAGTTACTATAGGATTCTGACGATGGTGTATAACACACTGATATATTGGGTTTTTGGACTTTATCCATCGTCCTGGTTTTTAAGATAACAAATAAAAACACGACGTTTCGGAAACTGGATCTGTTTCCGTCCTCNCATGGTGACGTTTTGTCGAAGGATTCATCTGTTGATCTGCATATTGTAGACCGTTACACCATGGCGAGTTATGGTACAGTCCCTCGAGAGGATGGTGCGAACATTTCGAAGGAACCTGCCACCTCCATGTTGCTGTTGTTGCTCTTCTACATTTGCTTATTCTGATTGTTTTCAGCTGTTGGCAGAGTCTGGGCAACTTGACAGCCCGGCATGCCAGTGGAGCACGTGACCTCAGGGGCCCGCAGGTCAAGAGGGCTCTCTGATATTGCACCCCAGTATGTAGCCAAGGTAAGGCATTTCACCATGCTTTGCGATTTCCACATTAACTCTTTAGAGCTCAGTGGCTACTCTATGTACCACATGCTTTGACACGATGAAACTGCATTTGTGTGTTTCGTATAGTTTTCGCAATAAACAGCTGTTTTTTTTCCTTAGACGGCATTAATTAGCGGAAGGGGCACGCGGTAGCGTAGTTGGTTGAGGCACTGTGCTACAAGCCGGAACGTCGCGGGATCGAATCCAGTGCTTCATGAGTTTAAGCAAGCTTTTCATAACCGCTCCTCCAGTAACTGCAGTGACTCATGAGAAATTCCGTTGTGATGATAAGGGCAGCAGGCGAGGGTTCCTGCATGGCAATTTGTGGGACATAGCTGGTCTGGCTACCCCATGCTCACTGCAGATGGCTGGATTCTTAGTGTCCACACGTTTTCTTAACCCTCGTTTGGTAATGTCGCCCCCAGTACCCAACCCCATCTTATGAAGACGCCAAGGGGATGTATACTTCACGCATTCGAAGACTTTTTGACAGTTACAAACCATGGACAGGAACCGGAATAGCGTAGTCGGTACAGCGACTGGCTACGGGCTGGACGACCGAGGGGTCGGAGTTCGAGTCCTGGTAGGCTGAAGAATTTCCAGACCGGCTCTGGAGCCCACCCAACCTCATATCCAATGGGTACCGGGGGGTAAAACGGCAAGGGCGTGAAGCTGACTACTCACCTTCAGATAGTGCCGAGGGCAAGAAAATGTGGATCTATATATCCATTCCCCGATACGCCTTCATGGCGTAGTGCTTAATTAGTTAAGCGCAGGTACAACTTTACTTAACTTTTACTTACCATGGGCACGATCTGCTGTTCTCATGCTGGACTGACTGATGCCTTGTACTAATATATATTGTATATACATACAAGTATATAATGTATCCTGATGAGGTCATTGGATTTTTTCAGTTGACTTAATCCTTCCAGCCGCACTAGGCCCTGGGGTTTACTCAGCCTCTAACAGAAATGAGTACCAGGAATTAATTAAATAATATTCCTGGGGAGTAAAGCACGGCCGGCGCATAGGGCTGACAACCTTACCGCCATCTTTGATCCGATTGTCTAGATAATGTGGGACCCTCAACGTCTCACAACCCTATGGGCCTTCACGGCCTGGTACGGGGATAGGTTTACTTTTTTTTTTTTTTTTTACTGTATACTGTATATATAAAATTGTAAATAGTATGTACATAATTTGCACAAGGTGCATATCACGGTGGCCGCGTGGTCTAAGGCATGAACCGTCTTCGCCTGCTTGAATACTGGGGCCGTGAATTCGAATCCCGCTCGAGGCATGGATGTCTGTGTGCGTTTGTTATGTGTTTTCTTGTGTGTGTAGGTAGCGGCCTTCCAACGGGCTGATCCCCCGTCCAAGGAGTCCTGCCGACTGTGAATAAGATTAAAAAACTGAAAAAGCTACAAAGTCCGAAGGGCTTTAGAGCCAGAAAGAGAGAGAGAGAGGATTACACAAGGAAGCTTGATAAGTGACGGACTAGAAAACGTACAAATGACTTATACTGCAGATTTTTACTCGGACTGGTGGTATACCCGCCCTCTCGCCAGACAGGGCGCCTCACATCGGCAAAACCGCAACTGTCAAATTAAATAAAATCTGGTCATGAACCCATATGGAGCTCTACACCAGGATGGACTGACTGACCGTCGGTCGTAATGTGACATTGACTTTGACTTTGACAGTAGACTGAATAAAATCTTTCTTATCTTTTAAACTCTGACCCCACTGATGCGTTGTGCAAGAAAGTCTTTTATACACGTATGTAGGGTCGAATGGTACAAGATGTCTAGGCACTGATGTGACATTCGCTTGAAAGTAGAAGTGAAGATGCAGCTCCACCTTTCTTAACCTCCGCACGAGATGGAGGTGTGTGGTCAGCTTCACGCTCCGTCCACTTAAACACTGCTGTGGCGTTTGTTTATCGTTGACTGCTGTACCACTCGGTCCCGTTAGCGTACTAGTATAGTAAGTTACGGGTTCTGTGTTCAGTCCCAGCTGTTTCCCAAATTGAAAATGAAACTGAAGGGACGAAGTTTCGAAACAGTCTGACTTCCGAAGGGAATCACAAGCGGTACTCAACAGCAATAAGGAAAATGACTCCCACGGTGCTTTTGAAGCATGGGAAAAATTATGGGATCACTGTACATGTATGTTCCCAAGGGTGTGGCAGCCAAAATTGCGTAAGTTAAGCCAGTCCGGGAACTTTCCGATAGAATTTCGGTTCGTTGCCGCGGGAACGTATGTACCGCGCAGTTGTCTAGCAGCGATAAGGAGGTGCACATACAGACACTCAGAGCAAAGTGATCTCATGAGCCTACTTTTATTTTTTTTTCGAAGTAGGGAAAGTATGTAGATACTAAAGGTTTCTGACGATGGTGTATAGCACTCAAAACTACTGGATTTTTGAAACCTATTGTCCGGAATTCTAGAATCTAGAAAACAACGTTTCGGAGACTGGATATGTTTGCGTCCTCAGGTGAGGTAGCGGAAGTGGTTGAGGTTAGCCCTTTCTAAGGGCCCCAACTGAGTAGGTGTCTTCTCCCTCACCTAAGGACGGAAATAGATCCGGATTCCGAAACGTTTTGTAGATTCTAGAATACCAGACGACGAAAAAACCCGCAAACGCAGTAATTCTGAAGTAAAATATGCTTGATATGTTAGGAGCTCTGTCAGTATGCCACCCAATATCTAACAACGTCCACTGTGCGAAATATGAAGCCTACCTTAGTGGGCAGAATAGTACTGGTATAGGGGTGATATTCTGATCTCGTCGCGTCATAGCTTAGGCTCTTATTTGCCAGCTTCTGACCACGGGTTCGATACAAGGCCAGGTAGTATGGGAGTTATGATGGACATTGTGGCATTGGTACTGTTTTTTTTTTCGAGTACTTCGGCTTCCCTGCCAATTTCCATTCCACAAAATGGTTCAGTTTTGCGTGACGTATAGATGGGTTTTGGTTTGGATGATGGGATTTATTGACACCTGGTCGTTAATCTCGGTTTTCTAGACCGGAGCCGCTATTTCCTTGTAATAGCTCCTCAGTTATCCTCACGAGGCTGAGTGGACCCCGTTCCAGACCCACTACTCAGAAAATTTGGTATCGTCGTGTATCGAACCCGGGACCTCTGGATCTGTAGCCAGGAACTCTGACGACTAGACCACAGAGGCGGTCTTATTCTTTAAGAATTACTACGATGTGCATGACATTGTTAAAACATTTATAATTATTATAATTAGTCTATTTACAAAGTATTGTTTAAAAAACTTTTTGTTAAAATTTAGAACCAGTTTGGTTCGTGATATTCTATCATTACCACAAGATATTCTATCATATACCACAACCAACTAATGGGACACGAAAACTGTTGCGTAACTGAACTAAGCAACCCATTAAACATCAGACGAAGACTAAAGCGACAGTGGCCCTCAGACTTAAAAGAACACAGTGTTGAAGATGGGTAGCCGTACTCAACAACATACTGCATAGTATACTGCATAGGAGAATCATCACTGGATGATCACTCCGCACAAGTGATTTCTTACAACATATTTACTTATTGCTCCCTTGTAGAGTAGATTGTAAATTGCAAGAAAATATAATAAAAAAAGTTTGGTTCGTGTCCTTTATACTGCTTGTCTTTAAAGGAGGTTGAGTGTCTACCGCCTCGTGGTTTCGTTGTTTGGAGAATAGGACTCTAGTGCCGTCCAGTTGTTCAGGCCACAACACAGGATGATCCAAGTCAAATTTACAGAGCTAAAAAATAAAGGAAACATTAAAAACCCGAGACAGGAATGAAGAAAAGCTCGGTACAGTGTGTAGTCTTACGGGACGCATGCGGCTTGAGGTCGAACGGTTCGTCCAGCCCTGTTCTGTATGACCCACATTGGAGTGAGGCGCATTGCGCTAGCTGATCCTGTGTTTGGGCCGGATCGGTTCTCTCTTCGAGACTTCCATCGCCTACGATCGAGACGTTCGAGACCTTAACATGTACAGTGGCAGACAGCCGTCTGCTTCAGCTTAACGTCGCTCGTGTCCTATGCAAAACTGCCAGTTATTGGGGGGTGGAGTGACCCAATGTTTGTAATGTTCACTCATGTTACTACAGTAAACAGCAAGTTTCCTGTTTGTCCATTTTAATTTTTGTTTGCAACAGCTGTACGAAGTGCCGTTACAGATAAAGTGACGTTGTTCCTTCATCACTACTTGAAGTTCGGATAATGCTTGCTATCATTCAGTTCGCTTTTAGATGGATGGATAGAGACAGATATATATATATATATATATATATATATATATNNCAAATTACAATAGATTACATCAATTGTTGTGCCTTACTGTACCTATTTAAGAGTACAGTAATCAGTTATCTTCATCTGTTTCCTGTTACTTGCCCAATACACACTTTCTAAATTACGTTCAATGTCCATATCAGAGAAATTCAGGAATGAAAATGACGTTACATACGAGGTTGATGCATTTGTGCATGTCGTAC